CAGATGTCAGCAGGTCTCCGCAGACCTGCTGGGGCTTGGCCTGAGCCTCATGGGGGGTGGAAGCTCTTTCCCAATAAGTTCTGTTGCTATCCTCCCCTGGCTGGTTTCATCCCCTGGCAGCTCTCCCCAGAAACTTCCCTACCCCATCCGCTTCCCTCCCCAGTCCTACCAGCTCTCTCGGACTTTTTTCAATGCCTTTCCTCACTGATCTATTAACCTGAATTCATTTTCTCCCTTACCATTCCCACAACCATTGTAATCACAAATGATCTATTAATTCACAGTCATTTACAACCATTACTGCAATTATCATTGTGTCTTCAACTTGAGCCATTTTGTAGAAGAGGAAGAGGATGCCACTAAGTGGGGTTTGAAATGCAACTGGTAATTTACTCATTAAAAGTAATGAAGGGTCTTCTTCCATCCCTGAGGTCAAGGGACGGGTTTTTTCATCTGGGAACTAATGGGGGGACTTCGGAAAAGAGTGTCGGCTAGTGGTGAGTAACTTCTAGATATAAAAGTGGGGCTCTACTCTTCAAGGCAGCTATTCTCTCCATTTTACAGATCAGAAAACTAAGATTTACAGAAGAGATGTGAGTTTTATGTGGACAGCGTATGACCCATAATGTGTATAACCCAACAAGGCAGGTGCAGTCAAGTCTACCTTGGTCATCTGGCCATTCCCAGTGCATCTTCCTCAACGTTGTCCCTCCGGCTCAAAGGAGCAGGCATGACTGGGATGCACAGGCTGATGGCTCTGTGGATAAAGAAGAGGGATTGGGTTTAGAGTGGCTGAAAAATTCATCTCTCCCTCTCTCGCTTCCCTTCCTCACCTCTCCTACCCAAGCAACCACACGTATGCCTCTTTCCACAGTCCTGAATCGTTGCCCCATGCACAACGATTTCTCTGCCAAGTGAGGAGAAGGACTCATCACAAACCCTGTGTCCCTCCCCACTGTGTGCCACGCTTACAGCTGAGAATGAGTCTCTTGGTAATGATTCAAGGTAGCCCCAGCATTTCTAAGGCCGAACTTCCTGGAAATTCCTGAAGCCTGTCTGTATGTTGCCCCCTCTTCCTCCCAAGAGGAAGGTGTTTCCTTGGTGTTGAAGTCCTTCGTTCGGTGACCTGGGCTGGCCATGCAGAGAGCTGGAGGTGGCATGGGTTAGTGGGTGGGGCCAATACGCAGATAATAGATATCTTTTTTTTTTAAGATTTTATTTATTTATTTGACAGACAGATCACAAGTAGGCAGAGAGGCAGGCAGAGAGAGAGAGGAGGAAGCAGGTTCTCCGAGGAGCAGAGAGCCTGATGCGGGGCTCAATCCCAGGACCCTGGGATCATGACCTGAGCCGAAGGCAGAGGCTTTAATCCACTGAGCCACCCAAGCGCCCCCAGATAACAGATATCTTTCCTCGGGTACCCATTGCCTTCATTTCACTTACGAATCTTCTATTAACTTGGACCGTTCCACTGGCTAAGTTCAGTGGTGAGAAAACAGCCTCTCCTCATACTCTTTTTCTCTTCTTTTATTCTTTACTTCCTCACATACTTACTGAAGGCCTCTTAGGGCCAGTCCCTAGGTTACATAAGAGGGACACCAAGCTTGAGGCTGAACGGTCCCTGTCTTCAAATCTAGGGAACGAGACCGACACAAGAACTGATGACACAAGGCGGGAAGGGAGGAAAAGAGCATGCTGTAAGATGCTACGGGGGCCCCAAGGAGGGGCTGATTAATTGCTTGTGGGCACGAAGTAAAGTTTTACTGGAGGTGACTCTTGAAAGGTGAGAAAGAGCTGCTGAGGTAGCAACACCAAAATGAGGAAAGGCATTCCAGCAGAGAGAGCAGTCCATGAAAAGGTACTGAGGCATAAAAATGTGTCCCTTTGGGGACATTTGACCAGCTCAGTTGGTAGGGCATGCGACTCTTAATCTCAGGGTCATAAGTTCAAGCTCCACGTTGGGCAAAGAGTTCACTTAAAAAAATTTCTAAAAATTAAAAAAAGTAGGAAATAATTAATTAAAAAAATATATCCATTTTATGCGGAGCCGTGTGACCAGGCTTACGGCTGTTGAGAGGTTGGCTGGGGGCAAGGCTGTTGCTGAGAGACTCATGAGGACGAGGCCAGTGCAGTCTCCAGATGAACTCTGTTGTGGGAGTGGGCTGGGGCAGTGGAGTCAGCTGGAGAGGTAGGGACAGGCTTGAGGGACATTAGAAAGGTCAGGAATTCATGCGTGATTATATTTGAGGATAAGGAGAGAGAAGAAGCCCCTCATCCAGGGTCATGCAGTTGGGACAGCTGTGGATGGTGGGGATAGGCCGCCAGGAGGTCTGGCTCTGAAACCTGTGTCCCTCCCTAGGCTGCCCTTTTAGGGAGCTGGGAGGCTGCACCTGCTCCTTGTCAGGTCTTTGCTAGGTCCAGGTTCGCCTGTGAGTCTCAGGATGGGCTCCTGCCCGAGCCCCGCCCATGCCTCAAGCCAGACCCACCTTCTCTTTCACCTTTCACTGGGTGACACTTGCCCATTGTCACTGGGCACCCCGAGGTCCAGAGGCGGGGACGCTCACAACTTTCTGCCCAGACCCACCTACAGACCTGTTGAGGTGTGACACCACCTGTACCCACATTTGTCCAGTCTCCAAGGACAGCAGCGCTCTCCTCTGCTCACTGCAGTTCAGCCCTGTGCTCAAGTTCAGATCTCTCTCGGCTGCCCTGGGACATTGGGGCACCCGTCACTTCTTGGTCTTTTCAGCCTCTCCCTCTGACTGGATCTTTTTCTCTCCTGTTTTTTTCTTTTTTAATATTTTATTTATTTACTTGACAGAGAGAGATGGCGAGAGAGGGAACACAAGCAGGGGGAGAGGGAGACACGGACTCCCCACTGAGCAGGAAGTCTGATGCAGGGCTCGATCCCAGGACCCCGGGATCATGACCTGAGCAGAAGGCAGACGCTTAACAACTGAGCCACCCGGGGCCCCTGTCCTGTTTTGATGAAATAGTCTATAGAGTCACCCGGTTGTAGCCCCCCAACCAATGCCTACAAAAATCCAGATTCCATTTTGTGATAGCCAGGGCCCTTCCTGACCTTGCCGTTCTCTCCTTCTTCAGTTGCTTCTCTCCCACCAGAAGCCCTCGAAGGATAGAGAGGATGTGGACAAGCGGTTGAGGGGAGCAGGAAGGCGGGCAGGAGAGTTGCACCAGCAGGTGCTCAGACTTGGAGGGGTTCAGACTGGCTGAGTCCAGAGGTTGTGGAAGGGAAGAGTAGAGGATAAAACCTGGAAGTGCAAAGCTAACCTGGATTCAGACTGTTCTGGGAACGGTGGGGGGCCTTGGAAGATGCTGGGCAGGGTCACAGGCTAAGCCACCGTCATCTCCTTGAACTCGTGCATCAGCTCCCGACTCTCCACCTCTTCTCTGATCCCACCCCATGACCGCATGCCAGGGGCCTAGCACGGGGTCTGGCATAAATCTCTGTGGAGTGGAATGGTGGTGTAGGGAGCGGCATGGAGATGAAGAGAGCATAGAGCTGGGGCGTGGATCTTCAGGAGGCTGCTGTGCTTGAGTGAGAAGTGACATGGACCCAGGGCTGGTGCAAGGCAGCTGGGGAGGACTGCAGTGAAACTGACCGGGAAAGGAAACTTATCGGTAGGGTGGCAAGGGACAGGTATTGTGACCGAGTGGTTGGACTCCAGGCTGTGAAGCGAATCTGATGGCATCAAACAGTGTGGCAAGAGGTGGCTCTGTCCTGGGAGGTGCTTGGACAGGGAGACATGGGGTGCGGTGGGGGTTGGTTAGGTTTCTGTAAGGAGAAAAGGACAGGACCTGGGAGACAGGGGTGCCCTCCTGAAGAGAACAGTGAGGGGAAGGGTATCTTCCCTGAACTTCAGCCTCTTTAAAAGTGGGCAACACTGGCAACCGCACGGGATGGTTCTGAGCCTCAATGAGATTGTTCAGGTACAGCCCTTAGCAAGCTGCCGGGCACAAAGTAAGCACTCAATAAATCATCGTCACCACCAACACTGCCACCATCATCAAGGGACTCCACTACATTTCGATGTGAAGTCAGGACCCTCCAATAACTGGAAAATAAAATAACCAAATAAGTGGCCTAAGACCCCGAAAGCAGTCACACATTTAGGGAACTCCTGCCTGAAGGTCATAGGCCAGCCCTGGCCAGCAGGTTGACTCCTGAACCGGGATGGGCAGGGGTGTGTGTGGGACCTCCATGGACATGCTTAGGACACAGCCCCTACCGAGCCACTCCAGGGTCTCCCAAGATCTTTTCTGGCCATCCTCCCGCTCATCCACCTGCTTTCACCAAAATTAAATAAGGCCGAGAAAAACTGAGCTCACTGAGAAAGAGTGAAGATTCAGATGGGCCCCCGTAAAGCCTGGCGTGGCTCCCCACACACCCTCGCTTCTCAAGTTCAAATCTTTCAGATTGCGGAAGTCAGCTCGGTTGAACAAGGATGTGATTCCTGGGTGGAAACTAGGAGGAAGGAGGATCAATGATGCTTTTTTTCCTGGTGTGGAAGAGGGGAGTCACAGAGGAAAGGAGGCAGGCACCTTGGACCACAGAAAAACCCAACAGGCCTCCTTAGTGTGGCCATAGCAGTGAGCCTTAGACAGCGGCCCAGGGAGGCCTGGCTTATCTGCTCCCACCTGCTCAGCATGGCCTGGCCCCGGCCCACCCTCCCAGACCCTCGGGCTCCATCACGCCACCCGCCACCCTGCCCACTCACCGTCCTCAGAGCAAGGGCCCTGCACTGCTTGAGTCTGCTTCCAGCCGGGGGCAGGCTCGGCGGGGGGTCCCACAAGGGGTGTGAGCCTCCTGAGTCCAGGCCAGTTCTGCGGGAGAAGCCTGCTTCCCATCCCCAAGGTGGGTGCTGAAAGAGAGACCGCAGTGGGGGCTGGGTGGGTTCTGGAGGCCAAGGCCAGGGGTGCCCCCACCCCAGTCTGCTGGGAACAGCCTTCCTTAGGTCTCTGCCACCCTCTTTCTGCAGTCCCGAAGTAGCGTGCAACAGGGGGACCTGGACGGCGCCCGGAGGCTGGGCCGCCTGGCCCGGCTGCTCAGTATCACCTTCATCATCATGGGGATCATTATCATCATCGTGGCCATGACTGTCAATTTCACAGGTGAGGTCCAGCCGCGTGGAGCTCAGCAAGCCAGCTTGCCTGGGTTGAGGACCACGGAAGGGTGCAGCCCAGCTCCCTGGGGAGGGGGCAGTGGAAACGGTGTAAGAGCCTGTAGGGGACACAGGCTGATCCTCTCTGAGAAGCGACCCCATCCCTGGCAGGACCCAGCTGAGTGGGATGGGCTTCTGCCTTGCCTTATGCCTGGATCATTAGGAAAGGGTGTGCAAAGAGCCCAGGCCTGGAAACCAGAGGTGGTCAGCTCCTATCCCAGCTCAGAGGGCTTTGGGTCCTGGGCCAAAGTTGTGTCTGGCTGAGCCTTGAGAGTGTCACCCAAGATCATGGCTGTGATACTGCTTGGTGAATGGTGGACTTTCCCTGCAAGCATTCTTGTTGAGACAGCCAGCAGGGACCAGACAAACAATGCATGTCGTGGAATTTGGCAGTAACCCTCTTGTGAGCCCCCAGAGCTGGCCCAGGGAAGTTAACCAAGCAGGGGCACCCTTTCCAAAGGAAACTCTCAGCGGCTCAACGGGCCGGCGTGGCTCTGAGGGTCTGGGCTCTGTGGAGCAGCGCTGTCCTTTCGCCTCCCTGCATGCACCTGCCTTGTGAGGACCCCAAGCCTCTCTGCCTTTTGCACTGGTCAGTCTAAGCTCTTCCCCTAAAGACTTTGCTGCTCCAGACATGCTGCGTGGACCAGCGGCAGTGGCTGCTGAGCCTGGGAAAGGGTCAGAAATGCAGAGTCTCAGGGCCTGGCTCAGAGCCACTGAATCAGAATCTGCATTTCAATAAGATTCCCAGCCCTGTCCTTAAAGGAGGCACTGATCTGGAACCCAGGGTTCCAGGAAAGCCTGGGATTCAGCGGTGGGGTCACGGGCAAATTTGGCCACTTTGGAGAGGGGAGAAGAGGTCAGGTCTGTAATCAGCTTGCCCTGGGTTTAAAACCCACATCCCCCACTGTCCAAGTGTCTGAAATGAAGCATCTTCCGGGGTCTCTGGGGGGCTGGCGGTGGGGCTGGTACGTGGGGTGGGGGAACCCGCCAGTGCGGGCATTAGCTCGGGAGCCCCCTCTCTGGGCCTCAGTCTCCTCCTTGTCACGCTCTCCACAACTTTGTCCACAGCGAATGAATGACCCCTGCTGAACTCAAACTGGCAAAGGGAATGGCTTTTTAAGCGATTTAAGGAATTTTTAAAATTCAGGCCTTGATGGTTCTCTGTTTGGTGGGGGGGGTGTCCCGTGGTGCAAAATGGAATTTTTAAAATTCAGGCCTCGATGGTTCTCTGTTTGGTGTGGGGGTGTCCCGTGGTGCGCGAACCCCTAGCAAAGGCTGCCTCCTTGCCACAAGGAGGAGCTCTTTTCCACCAAGAGACCCTGATCAGGCAACCCTGGTGCTGTTTCCCACCCGGAAACAAAACCCCAAATCCTCCAAACAATGGCTTGAAGGCCTGTTCTGAGCTCCGCGCTGCCACGACGGCTCTTCTCGTTATAGTGCAGAAGAAATGAAACGGACCAGGGCGCTGCGCTGGCGGAGGCGGCCCTGGGCAGCCCGAGGTCTCCACGCTCCCGCGCCCTCTCTCCTGCGGGAGGACAGGACAGGGACGTCCATGCACTCCCAAAGCACCGACTTGGAGTGAAGCCCCCAGGCCTCCCCACTGTCAGCCCACCTCAGATGCGAAAAAGCGCCAAGAATGATTAATGGGGTTTAATCTCCTGGACACGGCCCTGTATTGGCCTCCGTGCTCTGGCTGGTTTCTCATCCCCACCGTCTCCCGGGATCCACCGCGCCACATACACTGCCTGTTGGAGCGGGAACCGGCCCCACAGAGGAGACGGAGAAGAGAAGGACCGGACCGTGGCAGGAGAGAAGCTGCACACTCCCTACTCCCGTGTCTGAGGACCCGGAGTCGAGATGTGGGACTTGCTCTTTTGTACTTTTCTTTGGGCGGGGGGACAGGGTGTAAAAAGAGTTATTTGCATGCCTCGTGCCACGTGCTTGCTGCGATCCCAGCTCAGGGGCCAAAAGCTGCTGCTCCGCGTCCATCCTGGGACTCCCTTGGGCGCCCAAGATGAGCAGTTGACTGGACAGAGGTGTCAGCTATGTGCATGACAGGTGGCAACACCAAGAGGTAGGCTGGTGAAGGCAGGATCAGGAACTGCAGGACCCACAGACATCTCCAGCTTTTCAGTCTCAGGCTCATCTCTGCTGAGCTCTGCTGAGAACTCCTGTCCCAACATGTCTCCCAGGATGACCCAGTCTGCCTCTTGTTCCCTCGCTCCCTGTGCAGCCGCCTGGGGCCTGACCCCCAGCCCCGCTCAGCCAGGAGAGGAGGAGCCTGGATCTGAGTTCCCTTCCTGCCACGTCCTCCCTGATGGTCCAGGCTGCACACTTGGGGCCCCATGCGGCGGGGCTCAGGTGGGGCCTGGGCCCCGGCTCCTAGCCTAGCAGCACCTGACACTCTCTGTGCCTTACTTACCCTGAGCCCCTGGCCATCCACAAAGCACGAAGACTTTCTCTTGGGTGGGGGGAGGAGGTTGGGGCCACCTCTAGGGGAAGGACTTCCCCGGAGCTCCCAGGCTGTAAACAGGGGAGTGGGCCAGAGGGTTTGTTTTTTTTTTTTTAAAGATTTTATTTATTTATTTGACAGAGAGAGATCACAAGTAGGCAGAGAGGCAGGCAGAGAGTGAGAGGGAAGCAGGCTCCCTGCTGAGCAAAGAGCCCGATGCGGGACTCGATCCCAGGACCCTGAGATCATGACCTGAGCCGAAGGCAGTGGCTTAACCCACTGACCCACCCAGGCGCCCCGGCCAGAGGGTTTTTATGAAGGTTTATTGTTGATTTGGTCTAGAGAGTTCTAAGACAGAGGGAAGAGCCTGGCTGAAGGGGCCAGTCTTTGGGGGAGTGGGAGGCCCTGGGCACACTCATGCCTGGAAGCAGGGGGCGACACCATGGCCTCTTTCTCAGGACCTAAAGCGCCACCTGAAAGGACTCAGCAGGGTCCTTTGACCTCCTGTCTGGTTTCTGGCCCCGGGATTCTCCCGAGGCTTCAGCTGGCACAGGATCTGCCCACAGGGGCCCCTCCTATGCCCACCTACCTCTCTGGCTTCAGTTCCCAGACTCTCAGAGAGGAAAGCTCCAGGCTTTCCCACCCTGGGGGGCCCTGCCCAGCCATCGGGTTTCTCCAGCCACAGGCAGAGGCTGGCAAAGACTGTTTCCCCAGCACCCATTCAGGGCCCTTGAGCCCGCTCCCTGTCTCCCCGACACTCCTCGGAGACTCCTGGGAGGGAGTCCGTTAGCACAGAGGCACTGTCTACCAGGAGTCCCAAGGGCAGCTCTGAGCCTTCTAGGAGGGCCTTCGTGGCAGGGGAGGGGTGTAGGACCCAGGGGCCCTGGCAGGGTCCTTCTGGGGCCTGCGTTCCTATGTCAGTTCCCCACCTGGGAAGCAGACGCCAACCTCTCCAGACCCTAAGCGAGGGGCTGGCTTTGCTTGACAAGACCTCTGAGGCCACAATAGCAATGCCCCTGTTGGGGGAGGGAAGAAGTGAGCCCAGAGGATTTGTGTCACCTGCGAAGGCAGCTCAGGCCAGGAGGTGAGTCATGAGGTCTACGGAAATGGTGGCTCATGAGTTGGTGGTCCTCTGGCCAGGCCCTGGGGGCCCCAGGCTCAGCACCCCAGGGAGAAGAAGGTGCTCAGATGGAACTCAGAGGCTCTGAGGGTTGTGGAAGGAGCCTGATCCCTCTGTCGGGAGGAGAACAAGCCTGAGGACCAGGAACCCTGCAGAGATCAAACTGGGAAGGTGGGTCCCTGACTCCCCTGCTGCCCACCCACAAGCAGCCTGGCACCCTGAGGCCTCACCCCTCTGCTCCCAGCTCCATCGTGGGTCCCGCCCCTGGCTGCCTGAACCCAGCAGTCTTCCAGCTTGGGGCAGCCTCTCCCATGTCCCAGAGGAAGCAGCGAGAACTAGCCCCCCCCACCGCCGCCCGGCACCACACTCCACACTCTCCAGTCGGCTCCTCTGTATTGCTCGGCATGGAAAGAAATAAAGCTGAAAGTGCACGAGCCCCGTGGGCCTGTGTCTTGTGCTGCTGGGGTCCAGGGGTCTCCAACAACAGGGAGTGGGGAAGGAAGTGCACTCAACCTGTTGGTTCCAGGGTCAAGGCCGGGAGCTGGGCAGTGGACAGCCTGGGCACGCTCGAGGTGTTCCCCTGGGCAAGTTTGTCTTCCCCAGACCTCAGTTTCTCCAGTGAGGAATAAACGGACCCACCTTCCTTCAGGGGTCCTTTCTGCATCTGAAGAAGGACACAGAAAGAAGAGAGTGGGAGCCCGACACCTGCTCACAGCCGGGCATTATGCTGGGGGTTTCACATAAACTGGGGTTAGCCCCTGAGTCAGATTGGTAAGCAGAGGCTCAGAGATGTTCAGGGACTTGTCCCAGGTCACACCACGCCTGGTACACAGAAGGTACTGAATACATGGTGAACCAACTCTATCCCTGGAGCCAACCCCGAAGTTGGCTTCTTGCTGCCAGGCTTTGCCACCCAGAGAGGAAAGCCCTGTGAGAGGAAGGCAAATTGCAGGGGGCAGGGGAGGTGGGAGGAAGAATCCACTTCCCAGGCTGCTGGAGGGCAGGCCAAGCGGGAAGGTGAGTGTGGGCAGAGAGACACCCCCTCCCCTCTCATTCCCTCCCCCTCTGGGGTGTCTTATATAAGGGCACTAATCCCAGAACCCTCTTGACCTAGGCACCTCCCAAAATTCCTACCTCTTAATACCATCAGCTTGAGGGGGAGGGTTTCAACATGGGAACTCAGGAGGGACACAGGGCAGCGCGGAGGTGTTTCAGTGTGTGTGTGGGGGGGGGGTCCCTGGGAGAGCCAAGAAGGGAGCAGCAACCTTTGCCTGGGAGTGGGAGGGAGGTTGCCAGAAAGACCCTGGGCTAGGCCCCCTCCCTCCCTCCTTCCACAAACTTGTACTAAGTGTGGGGCACTCTGATCGGATGGGGGTGGTCAGCAAACGTGGGGATGGGAGCTGGTGGTGCAGGCAGTGAAAGGATTCACCCAAGGCAGGACAAAGGAGATGGAAATATACTGAATATATTGGGAGGGAGCAGCGGGCAGGACAGTGAGGGAGAGACCCCGTGGCAAGGTGGTGGTGGTGAGGGGGCCATAGTTACAGGGCAGAGTGAGGGACCATGGGAACATGGGGAATGTTCTCCTTTTTGGTAATCTTAGGAACCGCACGTGGTTGTAACTGGTCAGTTAGGGCCTATGGCCATTTTGAGGTGGGTCGTCTCTTGAGCCCACTTGCACTCAGCCCGGTGGTCACCACAGGCCTTCTACCTCATTCGGCTTCCAGCTGCCTCTACATTAAGCACCTACTAGATACCAGGCCTTGTACTGGACCCTGAGGACACCAAGATGAAAAGCACAGGCTCTCTGGACCATATGAACTTTGACCTAAAGGGAAAGTTCTGGAAGGAAGGAGAGAGTTCGTTGCGGGATGCAGGGGAAGACAGTAGATGAGGGCAGCAGGGAGGGGAACCTGGGACAGAGGTCAGGGGAGCCAAGAACAGGAAAGTGGCCTCCACCAGGAGCCTCTCCTGATCTTTCCAAATATATTTGAAGTACAACCGGGGATCCAAATGAAGATGAAATGCCACCATTGTAAGCCTACCAATTTAATAAGACGCAGGTGAATGGACACTTCCTATGCATGGGCTCTGCCAGTCACAAGCACATCACCTTAGTGCCTGGTTTGAGGCCTGAAAGCATCGTTCATCAGACACAACCCAATTCTAGAAACTCTGAACGGGAAGGGGGTACACCTGTCTTACAATCAGCGAGGGGAAAGTTAGAGCTTCCGCAATGCGGGAGGCTTCCCACGACGGATGGTGGTGCACGGGGACCAGGGGTCTGGCCTCTCTGAACCTCAACTCTCCATCTATAAACTGGGTGATCATCACTTCTGCACACCCACAGGGCTCTCGGGGTCTGATGGCCCTCCTTGGTGAAACGTAAGGGCTCGATCCATGTGGAGAGCACAGCCTGGCCCCAGCCTGGAGAGTGTCCTGCAGTCTGGGTAGTTCTGGACACCCTGTCCTGACCCTTGAGGCCCCACTGTCTTCCATCCCCAGCCCTACCTGTCCCCTCCCCACTCCCCGACCCTGTGTGCCCTGGAAAGCTCTCTGAGCTGGTCTAGGGCAGGCTTCTCAGTCCCAGCTGGACAATGGAATCACCTGCAGGCATTGGGAAATGCTGATGCCTGGCCACTGCCCATAGGGAGTCTGGTTCAAACGGCCCCGGGGTGGGGCTGGAGCATCTGGATTCTTGAAAGCTTTTCAGTGGGCATCCCAATGGTCTTTTGAGGGAACCACTGGCATAGACTCTAGAGCCTGGCTACTTAGGGTGTGGTTGCTGGACCATTAGCTTGGACATCAGCAGGAGCTGGCAAAAAAAAGGCAGAAATTTGGGCCACACCTTGAACTTGAACAAGATCTACCTTTAACAAGATCCCCAGGTGGTTCATTTGCATGTTAAAGTTGAGGAATCTCCAGTCTGCAAGTCTGAAAGGGAGCTAGCTGGCTAGTCTCACCTCAGACGTATCTTCTCCAGTCTTTTATCTCCCCTCCAAAAACAATAGTCACTTCCTTTCTTTCCTACCGCCAGGATCTAGTGTAACAAACTGAGAAAATCTAGGCAAGACTGAGAAACAAAGAGAAGGACAAAGAGAGGAAACCCTGGGTAAGTTTGGCAATTCACAGCTGCAGAGGACTGCATCCCTCTTCCCAGAGTGTTTCCCAGGGAGGCTGGGTCCCTTTGTGGGGGAGGTGGCCTATGTGTAGGGGACATGTGTGTGTGCGCGCGCATGTGTGTGTGCGCGCATGTGTGTGTGTGTCAGAGGGTCATCATGGTGGGTGTGCCCCCAAGGCACCATTCCCAAGAAATCACTAAACTTCACCAGCCTCTGGCCCCCACAGCTGTGGACCTGCTGGAACCTGCTAGAACCTGTTAGCCACCCGGAGAAAGTCAAACAGGTG